TAAAAGGTTATCAATCATGATTGGGTTTGGAACCATAATTTGTAAGCAAGGTGAGCCTACACATCAGCATATTATTTATAGTATTATTTTTTTAAACCAGCAGTTATTTCCCTTCAACTAGATTAGTAAAAATATTGTACCAGGATTGAATGGAAAGCAATGTCTCCAATGTTGTACGTGACCAAGAGATGGCAGCACTGATTCACCAGAAGCTCTCTCTTTCTATCACTTAAATTGGTGAAGTATTGGGGAAAAGCTTATGTTGCTATTGTTTATGAAATGAAAGCTTGTAATGAGTATTCCTCAATATGCTTTAAGCAATCCACTATGAGATGGAAGTTTTAATTGCTCAAGGAATCCTGTCAATTTAATTCACAATTAAATGCAGGTAGTTTATGGTGATGACTGTGTTAATGTGATTACTAACATTTGGGCCAAGCTGGAAAGAGCTGATTTGTGTGAACAAGGACAAGGTGAACTAATTGTTACAGCAACCACCAAATTTCACATGAGTAAGATTGATGAGCTGATAAAGAAGAGGTAAAAGGAAATTCTTCTCAAGCTTGGAATTTCACAGGAATATGAGTCACATTACCGAATCCTTCAGTATTGGGAGATGGGTTCCTTTGCATACTGATGGTAGAAGCAAAAACTTGAAGAATTGAAATTTGCCAGCAATTGTTGTCATACTATGAGAAGAAAAGCAAGAAATCTCTTCAAAGCATCATAGCAACCAACAAATGCAACAAGTCCATCATTATGATTCAAAAGCAAAAGAATATCATCACAAAGCTTCACTGCAAAAAATAAAAATGAAAAATCATGCTTTGATAGGAAAATTCATGATTACAATTTTTGGTGATGTGTGTGTATATATATATATATGTGTGTGTGTGTGTATGTGTATGTGTATGTGTATGTGTATATATATATGTTAATGCAGGCAACAAAAGAGTTCCCTTCAAAAATTATTTTGTTTTATTTATTGAAATAATAGAAACCCTAATCCTTTTAAAACTGAAATTATTGAAATGGAGACATTCAACTCTCGTAAAAAGTAAACTACTTGATAAATCACTGCATGCCATTTCTGCCTCAGCCTATTGATTAGTTACAGTCTGGCTCAAGTCCAGGGCATTTTATGGTCCCCAGACCACATTTTTGGGTATCTCTGTCCAGCTTACATGAGTTCAATCAGAAATTAAAAATTAAATGTAAATAAGTATATGCCATGCACACAACTGCATTGCTTTTTGAAGATGATTGTTTTTTTTCAATTTATGTATGTTCTTACATGCAGGCATCCCTATGCACCTTTACAGCTCTTTTGGTTCAGTTCTCCACAACTGTCCCAGTTTCTCATGTGAACCCTTGAGAAAATTAAATGTCCACACTTGATCTGGCTCAATAGCTGGACTGGCCTTCTCTACAATTTGCTGCCAAGGAGACAATGCAAGAACCTTATATTTCTAGTAATTGTCCAATATTTGCTTTTACTCATTCTTTCTAAACTCGGCAAAGTCACCTAAGTGAGATGGAAATTTGATAAATGAATAAATTGAAGTACAATTCTTCTAACAAGAAGTTTTCACTAATTTCCATTAAACTCTGTGTGTGATGACACAGAGAAAGGAAACATATAGCTGTCAGATTGCTAAATAAAGATCACATGTTTTGACCTCCTCGAAACCTAACCTAATCTTGATCAGCTTTGCAATGAGTTTTACTGATTCTCATTCATTGCCTTTCTCTCTATATCTCTGTTTCTCCATCAGACAGGTCATATTTATTTCTGAGCTCAAATCAAATAAAACCATATATCAATCAAAGCAAAGGATCTTTCTCTTGTAAATGTCTTATTTTTAATATATTTATATTACATACCTTATGCTCCACTGACCTTTCTAAAACCTACCAGTTCATTTGGCATTACTTTCTCCAAGTGTGAATCTCTACATCTTTGTATTATCAAGCATAATACAAAGCATACATTTATTTATATGAATAATGAATGAAATGGTTCAATAATTTATATATTTCTCTTCATCTCACATTTTTGGAACAAATATATAAACTGATCTATGTACCTGTCTGTAATCCAGTCTTGTTTCATATCTGTTGACATAGAACTGTTAACTTCCTCTTTGTTTATAAAACTCAATGAGTATTTCTGTTTTATCTCCATTTGGTGATTAAATGTCCTATTTGACAGCTAAAGAACTTTCCTTAAATGAGGACTGGATAAAATATTCCAAGAAACAGATCAACAGAAGCATAGATGAGCGTAACTGTGTATGGAATATCCAGTAATTCTAATATATCATCTCATTATTTAATGGATTATAGCCAACTATAGTATAGGAGTATATTATACTGAGTAATGTCCTTTCTAAGCATTATTGCCATGCCATGCCCTGAATAGTAAATCCTAGTCCACTTAAGTTCACATATGCCTAAAATTTAATTTCTACCTTGACAATTTCAAGATTTATTTTTCACACTTTTTATATGTTATGTCCCTCTTTTAAACCTTGCAGCATTGGTGATTATATTAGCTTGTATCTAGCCTTATAATTATTTCCAGATTTACTTATGCAAGTTCTCAAATAACTAGAGGAATGCTTTAACTCTAGCCAAGCATAGGCTGAAAATAATGCGCTGGTTTTTTTCCAAATGGAAAAGTTGTCCTTTTAGGTGGTTTGATTTTCCTCATGCTGCCTGAGCCAATTCTTGGATGAATAGATGTTTAGGAAATGTTCACAAAATTTGTGAGAATTGTATGGAGAAGTAATTTTACTGTAGATGCTAGGCCAGTGATGACGAACCTTTAAAGCACCGAGTGCCGAAACTGGAATGTGTGTGCACATGCATGCACCAGAGCACTGGAAACCCAAAGACCAGCTGGCTAGTGCATGCATGCCTGTTTTTGGCCATTTTTCGAGGCGAAAACGGCCCAAAAAACGGCCTGGGTTTTGACCATTTTCAGGCTGTTTTCCGGTGTTCCAGCACCTGCAAAGTCCAGCTGGCTGGCACGTGTGCCCACAGAGAGGGCTGTGCATGTCACCTGTGGCACACATGCCATTGTTCGTCATCACAGTGGTAGGCAGACTTAATTATGTAAAAACAGTTCCCACAGATTGAAAGATCTGTATATGCTGAGGTTTAAATCCAAGATTTTTCTTTCTTTCCTACTGACTTGTTGTAACGGACTGTTTGCAGTCTATTTGGTTGCTGAGAGCACACACTGCGTTTTCCTGGCCATTATATTCTCTCAATGTCACTTTTCACCCTTATTTGGTTAGATGTAACTCCACCTGCCTTTATGGATTCCTCTTAACTTCAGTCCTCCCCTTTGATTTTACTGGTGAAAGTAACTTTACAATGAGTTCCTTCTCTCACACAGTTCTAAAATCAGTGAAACTACTGAGCTTTCCTGTCAATCAAATGATCACCTGGTATAGATAGCATATATATATAAAGCAGCACTAACATAAAATGGCTTTTTAAAAGATCGAATACAGCTTTGTCAGGACGCCGCGATGCAAGCATGGAAAGTGGGGTGGGGAGTCTCGTTACTATGACACCAAGGGACGCTTTCGGCTTTCCTGTTCTCGCAATAATTGGCTATCTCGCGAGAAGGGACGATGGGGCGTAATTTAATAACCCCTGGCTCCACCCACTACAAACTCACACTCTTTTCACTTCAGTTCTTTGCAGGGTAGCTCTTCTCCAAAAGGCATTGACGCTTTGGCATAGTATTGTCCCGCAGGACTTGTGGTTTAATCAGTGACCGACATCGCCCGATTTCATAGTCGCAGCGAGCTGCTAACTGCACCAACGCTGTACGTTGCCTTACGCATAAGCGTTTTCATCAGCACAGAGAAACATGCTCTTAAAAGTCCGTTTATGGAGTTTCTCAGTCATCCAGGTCACGATTGTCCCCAATGGTGTTTTTTCAAGAGGCAACTGAAGAAAAAGAAAAACCAGAAAGTCCAGTTGCCTCTTGAAAAAGCAGCTTTGGGACATTCAGTCTCTTATATTCTCCGGAAAAAAGGGTGCCTAGGACTGCAGTCCAAATCGCCAAACCTCAAGTGTCTGCGAACGAATTACCATTTGTACTTCGCACTACAAAGCCGCTTGGTAGAAGACGGCGCCCTAGGAAAGTACACCGCTCCCGGGCCTGACAAGCGAGCTGCTCTTGTATCCCCCTTTTTTTTCTAGCTTCTAGGTCAGAGGTCTTGAAACTTGGCAACTTTAAGACTTGTGGACTTCAACTTCAGCTGTGCTGGCTGGAGAATTCTGGGAGTTGAAGTCCACAATCCTTAAAGTTGCCAAGTTTGAAGACCTCTGTTCTAGGTTTTCGTAGTTTCCCTTTCGCATTTTTAGCAATCTTCTAAATGCCTTTCCCCCCACCATATTTCCAGCAGTGCTAACGGCGCTCAGGTAGCGAAGACAGCGGATGCAATCCCAAAGCAAACTAGAGTTCTGCTGCTCTGGCTGTCGACAGCCTTGCCAAAGGCTTGACTCTCTGCCACCTCGCTGGCCAGGCGGAGGAGAGCCTCTCCAGCGACCTAAGTAAATATCTCGTAATTTGGGGACATCAATGGAAACCCAAGGAAAAGAGCGTTTGTGGCTGGAAAGCAGCTCCAAGAAAATAAAATATCTGCTTCATTCACCAAACGGGCGAGAATAAGTGTTTATTTCCCCCTTTGTGCCTCTGATTCACTTCACTTGAGGGGAAGGGGGGGACTCCCTCGCAAAGCGGTTCGACAGCCGAACCGAAAACGCCGCCGCCGCCGCCGCATCTTCCGTTCGCGCAGCGGGCGGAGAATCCAGGTTGGGCGGTGAGGTCGCGTCGGCTGCCGCAAGGGTTGCCGGTCCATAGGCGGGCGGTCCGGGGCCCGGACGTAAGATGGCGGCGGCGTTGGCGGGGGGGAGGAGGAGGAGGAGGAGGGGAAGACGGAGGACGGGGGGGTGGCTCTTGTGGCTGTCGCGAGGCTCAGGCTGTGGAGGCGGCGGGCAGTTGTGCCCGGGCTCGCAGGACGGGTAGAAGGAAGAGGGCTCGGGGCTGGCAGGACCCGAGCTGGGGCCAGGCCGCCATGGGCTCTCAGGTGCTGCAGATCCTGCGCCAGGGTGTGTGGGCGGCTTTGAGCGGCGGCTGGTACCAAGACCCGCACCAGGGCGCCGGGGTCAACGCGTTGCACCTCTACCTGTGGCTCTTCCTGCTCGGCTTCCCTTTCACGTTGTACATGGTGAGTGAAGGAGCCGGCCTGACCCATCCCCACCGGCAGAGAAAGGAGGGGAAGGGGCTTTTTCGGGCTTCAGCCTCGCCTTCAGGTTGGGGGCTGTCGCCTTTGGCACTTGAGGAGTGTTCCCGGTCAGGTTGGGCTGGGGAGCCGCCTTGACACCACCGTCTCCTCACCGCTGCTTTTACTGTATTTCGGGGAGGCGGAGGGCGATGCCGTCGGAAAAAGCGCCGTTGCCTCCCTGTTCAGGTCAAACGCTAAGCTAATAAACTTGGGGAGGAAAAGTCCAAAACCCCAAAACCGACCTTCGCTCCTTAAAAACACAAATAGGAGAAGGTCCCAGTGGTGTGACCTCTCTCCTGTCGTTTGAAGCGGATGCGTGGCTTTTTCTTTTTTCTTTTGGCCTCCTCGTACGGTATGGATTTTTCCCCCTCCACAGGAAATGCTTTGTGTGGAAACCTAATGTTCTTTTTACGTGTAAAGCTGAACGGGTGGCAATCTTACACGTGGGGTGTTTTGATGAGATTGTCCTCCAAATCCAGGATTGGCTACAGCTTGTCAACATACACAGTTGCTGAGCGAGTAGTTGTGAAGGACCAAGGATAAATAACTAAAGGCTGATGGACTCAGTCCTAAAGTACTGAAACAACAGCTGGGGAGGGAGGGAAATGTTGGAGCTAATGTTCCACAATTGGATATGCATCCCTGTCTATAGTGGGATAAGAAATACTCTTTAAAAAAACAGTAGAAATCTTACAGCTGGAGGTGCAATTAAATGGTCATCAGACTCTGTTCCCAGCACTCTTTTTATGTTGATGTATAATCTTAATTTAATAGTTATTGTTTTGATTGGCGGGATGGCAGAAGTCCACATACTTGAAATCTGTTTGAATTAAAGGTTTCTGTGAAAACTTGAAGTCTTTGTATGTTTGTACAGAAAGTATACACGGGATGAAAGAATGCACAACTTTGACAGACTACAGCATATATTTCTACTACAGTATGTTTAAGCTACATATTATAGTTTATATTTCTACTACAGTAAGCTTTAACCTACATACCTTTGTATTCTGTGGATTAATGAATGAACTGATGAAGAGAGGCAATGAGATTCTTTCTCTTGGTATAAACAAAATTTCTGTAACTTAAACCCAGCTAGGTCATGTTAAGAATATCAGTGATATTACAATAAATGCATACATTTATGTTATGGAAAAGCTATGAAATATTTCTTAGTATCACTTTTTAAAGAATTTTTTTGTATGCATTTATTGTAATATCACTGATATTCTTGACCTACTGAAATCTAGATGTTGATAGTCATAAACAGGTAATGGCGAAAACAATAATATATTTTTGACAATTTGATTTCAGAAATGAATAATGAGCTGAAGAATTATGGAGCAGAATTGGGAAATGAACATGCTAAGTTCTATTGCTATCTCATGCCCCTTACTAAATTCAGTTCTTTCTAATGTAGGGGAAACTTTTTTTGTGAGTGTGATGTTGCCATGACAACCAGACATTGCACTATTCCTTGGAAATTCTAGTAAACATAAAATATCAGGGAAAAGCTGACTTGTGAAAGATTTATATTGTTCATCAAATAAGACTCTAGAGAGAATTGTGCATGAGATTGCAGCTAGAAGAATAAAATGAATTACATAAACAGCTTGCAATAGTTTCTTCAAATTTCTTCCTCTCCAATCTCTCTCTGGAGAGGGGGAGGAAGCAAGTGATTTCTGCAGAGAATCTCATTTGCCTGATTTTTTTCCTGCTGCCAGTGTGATCACATTGTTTTCAATGTGCAAAAGAGCATTTCTGCACTTGTTCTCTTGAAATCCCTCTCTAGTGTCTACTCTACGATTGGAGGAGGGTGGCTTTATGTAGTTGAGCCTTCCATTGTCAAAGATTTTCCGCCTTTGGTCCTAGATGAGGTGGCATTGCCCCACACAGACCAGGTACCAGACCAGCTTAGAGTATCTCTTAGATTGTATATCTGTGGATTAAAAGAAGGGTTTTGCACACTTTCAGATTTTGTGCCAGTTGTACCCATTCTGGACCTGGATGCTCTGGTTACTGTCACTCACTCCTTTGTGACTTCCTGTCATAATTACTGCAATTTGCTTTACATTGGGCTGCCCTAAAAGAGCAGTCAGAAGCTTCAACTGGCACAGAATGCAGTTTCATGGTTAGTAAATAGTGTCAGGTACTTGGCATATGTACCTCTGCTTCTTGAGCTGCATTGGTTGCCAGTGTGTTTCCAGGTGCAATTCAAGTTGCTGGTTATCTCCTTTAAGCCCTTCATGGCTTGAGACCAGACTATATGAGGGACCATCTTCCTCCAGTTGTTTTTACCTGTCCATTTTATTTCAGCAGAATGGGCATGCTCTGAGTCCAGTTAGGCAAGGAATATCTGCTGTCAGTGACTAGGAAGCTTTTTTGCTGTAATTCCTAAGCTCTGGAATATTGTCACTTAAGAAATTTGCATGGCCTTGATGTTGTTGACTTTTTATAAGTCCTCAAAGATCTAGTTATGTGGCTGGACTAGGGTCCAGAGTGTGTTAAGGTTTCCATTTCCTGGTTATGTTATCATTTTCAGATAATAATTTTCTTGGCTGCTGTATGTATTTAATTTTTTTTTGTATTGTACTTGTAATTTAATTGATTTTATGATTGATTGATGTGCAAAGTCACTTGTTTGAAATAGGCAGCCAAATAAATTGAATAAATAAAGGAAAATGCATCTTTTCTATTTTTCTATGCTTTGCTATTTCTTTAATTCAGGCAAATTGTTCCTTATACCAGGCTGGAGAAATGAGGCAGTGAACTTTTTGACTCAACCCCTAAAGGTGATTGGCATCTGGATAGAGAGGAACAGACTTAAGCAATAATGAGTGGCTGAGGGTATGAAGACCTTCCGAATCCAGAGATACATGTATAGGATGGAGTCATGATTCCCCATAATAGCAGTTTAGTAATCTGATGGTTCTCTCGGATTCTTGGGTTCAGTTTGAACAGCGACCATGGCCAGAAAACCCTTTGTACTAACATATTTTGTCTCTCCGTTGTGGTTTTCTCTGGATTAGAAGGCATTACATATAAGCACCAGTGTTCTGATCACTCCACAGTACACTTAAATGAAGTGTCTTCATTTGAAGACTATCTTCTGATAGACTTTAATGAAGTGTATTCAAATGAAGACTATCCAGAAGCTTAAACTGGTTCTAGTATGCACTAGTATGAGTAGCAATGGATGCACCTATGGTTGCCCACAAAACACTTCTATTCTAGAAACTTTATAGGTAGTCCTTGACTTATAACCACAATTTAGTCCAAAATTTATGTTGCTAAATAAAATATTTGTTAAGTGAGTTTTGCCCCATTTTCCGACCTTTCTTGTGAATCTCTGCAGTTGTTAGTAACACAGTTGTTAAGTAAATCTGGCTTCACCATTAACATTGCTTGTCAGAAGATCACAAAAGGTGATCACGACCCCAGGATACCGCAACCACCACAACTATGAGTCAGTTGCCAAGCATCTGAATTTTGATGATATGACCATGGGGATGCTGCAATGGTTATGTGAAAATGGTGATGAGTCCCTTTTTTCAGGGCTGTTGTAACTTTGATCACTAAACAAACTTGTAAATTGAGGACTGTTGTCATGCACACCTCCTTCAGCAACCAAGAAAGAAACCATTTAACTCCATTTGTAGAATTAAGAGTACTTTTACTGGTTATGAAAAGATAGCAGCGAAGTAAAGCAAGGTCTGAGGCAGAAACACGCACAATCAAACATATCAAACATTTGCTCAACCCCCTTCCCCCAACAACCCCCACCCCATTGCCCAATCTGCAAATCCCTTATGTGTCATGTGGGTGCATCTCCAAGAAGTATCATCAGGTTGGAATGCAGGACGGCTGGCCTTGACTAACCCCAAACATCGGCCATCAGCATGCGCAGAACATGGTGAAAACAAAACTCCCCTTTTAACTAACCTCCTATACCAATTATTTCCCATCCCAAATACCATACCCCCCCCCCCGTTTCTATGGCAGCCGAAAGCAAGTAGCGAAGCAGAGGCTGACAACTGTATTGGTTGCTCCTCAGTTTTAGGTGAAATTTAAGTTACTAGTTATGAACTGTAAAGCCTTACATGCTTCAGGACCTGGTTATCGTCAAGATTATCTGCTCCGAACTGAATCTATCCGTAAAATCAGGAAAAGAAATTCTGCTAAGGTCCTGTCCTTAAGGGAATCCTATTGGTAGTACACTATAGTTAGGTTTTCCCAGTGTTGACTTCCCTCCCATGGAACAGCTCACTCCCATAAATATGGATTACTTGTCTGATGAATTTTTGCAGTAATGTGAAACCTGGTTCTGAGAGAGAGTATTTGAACTTTCATTATGCTAAGTTTTGGTTACCATTATGCTTGTGATTTTGCTGTTTTTCATATTTTTTTTACTTTGTATAAAACTCAGTTGTGCATGTGTTCAGAAATATTGGTAATAAACTTGTAGGGAACTACATTATCTTCCCTTATCAAAACTTGTATTTAAGATACAAGTCAAAGAATTATTTTACCATTGGGGATTACATGAAAAATATGGAATTATGAAGTCTGTTCTGTCAGGTGAGAAGCATAAAGGGCAATAACATTGAATAACTTTTGAGAACTATGACTTCTGTCTTAAGATAGTCATACATATATTTCTTTGTAATATCTGCTCCTTAATACAAAAGCAAAAAGATTATAAATAGATCTTCAGGGAAAGAAATAATTGTTGGATAGGCTTGAATTAACAGAAAAGGCCAATGATCTTAATCCTATAGTGAGTATAGGTTGGTTAGTCACACCTCAGTTCATAATTGGCTCTTTATGGATTGCATGTTTGCCATGTGTGTAAGGTCTATATACCAAATTTGGTTTCGAAGTACTATTCCAAGCTTTCTAGCTTTGGATCAGTAGAACAATTACACATAATAGCAATATTTATTTAG